GTTAAATGTATATCTAAATGTATATCTATCAGATGCATATTTATCAGTCTAGACATGCATATCGACCCGGTAAATAGATGGTTAAATGTATATCTAAATGTATATCTATCAGATGCATACAGTCTATGGCGGCGATAGGTAGATGGTTAAATGTATATCTAAATGGATGCATATTTATCAGTCTAGACATGCATATTTACCGATGCATATCGACCCGGTAAATAGATGGTTAAATGTGTATCTAAATGTATATCTATCAGATGTATATTTATCAGTCTAGACATACATATCAACCCGGTAAATGGTTAAATGTATATCTATCAGGTATATACACATAAGCGTTTCTTTCTGCATCTGTATTTATGACAATTCATTGGGTCGGGCCTGGCGCAACTTTAACAAACCGGCCGATAAAGTACAGGGAGAGATATACAGAGCAAAGGTGCCACAGCTGACCTTCTGTTACTTCGTGTCGTAACTGTAAGGCGAGGCAGGTGCGTGCGTTAGACTGGGAGGTCCAGCTGTTGAGTCGATAAATATAATTTAACCGGATTCTGTCGTGGCTGATGATTCAGTGGCGGAGAAGACTCGACGAAAATACGTGTAATTCGTGAATGGGATTTTCGTATACGTTATGAGATGTCTCCCGCTCTCGCATGCGATCGAACCGAGTCCGGACAATAAAAGCCATGGCGGATCGACTCTCGGATAACGTACGATTCCCGGCAATTTTCATATCCATTCATTCTCTTATACCGGTGCGATGACTCAGTATAGGTAACTGCACGGACTCTCCGACTCCTTCTTCTCCTTCGTCAGCAGCGTAGAGTCGAGCAGCGGGATTCGCGCGGACGTGACATTCGGTTCGGAATCAGCGGCGCGAGCGAAGACGAAGAGGCGCTCCTCCCATTCGCGCGGATCAATATTTGCGTCGTTACGCGTCTCGCGCTTTTTCAACCTCACGCAGATAGACTTACAAATATACGCGCATACATACATATATATATATATATATATATATATATATATATATATACATATATATATATATATATACATATACATATATACATACATACATATATATACATATATATATATATACATATATATATATATATATATATATATATATATATATATATATATATATATATATATATATATATACACACACACATAACATGTATATGTATATACATGTATATATATATATATATATATATATATATATATATATATATATATATATATATATATATATGTGTGTGTGTGTGTGTGTGTGTGTGTGTGTGTGTGTGTGTGTGTGTGT